GAAAATGTCCTCAAACTAAAATACATACTGAAAAGCAACCACTGAGAACTCAGCACAAAGAGTGAGAAACAGCCCCAATCCAAGATCCAAAATTGTAAAATTTTAAAAATGCCAAGGATAAAAAGTTGGCTATAAACATCTCCAGAACGAAAGAAAGCAAATCATAGGCCAGGTATTAGGAATCAGAATGGTATAGGATTTTTCAGTTGTATAATAGAATCTTGGAGATAGTGGAGCAGTCCTTTAAAATTCCTGAGTGGATATTAATTTCAAAATAGAATTTTATAACCAAACTGTCAAGTATGTGCCCCTAGTAACAACATTTTTAGGCATTTAGATAGTGTTTTAAAGTGTATTTTTCATGGATCTTTTCATATGAAAGCTTCCTAGAGATTGTATTGCAACCAAAAAAAAAAAAAAAAAAAAAGGAATAAACCAAGAAATAGAATGACTTCTGACCCAAAGAAAGGGAACTCAAAAAGAGCACAGGGGAGGGTTGACACAAGACAGAGATCAGCCAGGACAGACATAAAGTACCAAAGAGGTTCCTAGGGGGAAAAAATTTCAGAGCTTATAATTCATCTGATGTTTGGTTATTTGGAAAAATATTGATGAATGTTTGACAAAGTTGTTTGAGTACTTGGAGAAAATGTCAGTTACCCAGAAAATTAATCTGTTAAAAATCATGTAGTTAATTCCAGAAACAATGAATAAGAAAATTAAAGAAAGTAATGCTTATCTCGGTAGTGAACAAAATTTCCATAATCATTATGATATAAATAAACTACTGACTAGTTATTTAATCTAAATTGTTATATGGGAGCATTAGGTGGTTATATGGGGTGGGTAGTATAAATGTCTTAAGTTGTTACCTTTTTTAGTATAGGAAATCCATAGAAAATGTTTAATAGTGAAAAATCAAGAAATAGGCCGGCACCGCGGCTCACAAGGCTAATCCTCCGCCTTGCGGTGCCGGCACACCAGGTTCTAGTCCCGGTCGGGGCGCCGGATTCTATCCCGGTTGCCCCTCTTCCAGGCCAGCTCTCTGCTGTGTCCAGGGAGTGCAGTGGAGGATGGCCCAAGTCCTTGGGCCCTGCTCCCCATGGGAGACCAGGATAAGTACCTGGCTCCTGCCATCGGATCAGCACAATGCGCCGGCCGCAGCGGCCATTGGGTGGTGAACCAACAGCAAAAGGAAGACCTTTCTCTCTGTCTCTCTCTCTCTCACTGTCCACTCTGCCTGTCAAAAAAAAAAAAAGAAAGAAAAATCAAGAAATAACGATGTAGGTATGTGATTTTAAAATGCGAAGATCCAATGCCAGAAGTTGAAGGTGTGCACCATTGGAGAGTAGGTTTGGAGATTGGTGAGGGGTAGAGAATGGGCACTGCTATTCTTTGTTATGAGCAGTTTAGTACTATTTGACTTCCATTAGGGGCATTACTTTGGATAAGAAAATTTAATCAATAATAAAATGAAGGAATAGTAACAAGTTTCCCTTTTGGCATATCCCATCCTTTGAACTGTTCTCCCAAGGTAAACACTTTTAACAGTTTCTACCTTTAGTTGTTCTGATGGTTTTATTCACAAAATTAAGTATAGTTTTTGGTGAGGTGTAAAGCAATCTGGACCTGCCTCTGCTCAGTTAGCCAAAATGTGGCCTCATTGAACTACACTGTAGGCATGTAGGTTAACAGTGTGCTTTGAGAGTAATGTACAATTGGCCTGTGCCTGTTGTTGATCTTTCATCCCTGAGCAACTGTGTACAGCCAAGGAAGCAGTCCTGACCTAGTTGGGTAAGGCAAAGGGTTATTCTGCCAGTGGGAGCATGGCATTACTGGCAAGAGATTTCTCTTTTAACTGTTGGAGTTGGTGCCATGGCAGATTTTCCTGACTCAGGGAGTAAGTGTTGAGACCTGGTCCAGCTGGTTAGATTATTTGTTGATTTTGATTATCTGCACCAATAAACTCTATGGCTGGCACAGATAATCAAAAGCAGGCAGTGATTTTCTAGCTTCCTAACAAAAATGTTTTTTTGTATTTTGAAATTACAACCTAAAAAAGTTTTATTCAGTTTTCACCAAAATACTGTTTTATAGGGAAGAGGGGTAGTTACTGAATTAAATCAAGAGCTCTTTAAAAATCTCCATGTCATATATCCTTAGGCAAGTCACTTTTCTATTTATCACTTTGTTATTCTTGCAACATAAGTAGGGAAAATTGATAATAATGATACTGCCTTTTATTCAGCTCTTACTATGTGCTAGGCACTCTGCTAAGCATTCATTATCTCATTTAACTTTCAAATAATCTTTTTTTAAATATTTATTTATTTATTTGAAAGAGTTACAGAAAGGAGAGACAGAGAGAGATATCTTCGATCCACTGGTTCACTCCCCAAATGGCCACAATAGCCAGGCCTAGGCCAGGCCTAAGCCAGGAGCCAGGAGCTTCTTCCAGGTCTCCCACATGGGTGACAGGGGCCCAAACACCTGGGCCATCTTCCACTGCTTTCCGAGACACATTAGTAGGGGGCTGGATCAGAAGTGGAGCAGCTGGGACTTGAACCGGCAACCATATGAGATGCCAGTGCTGCAGGCCTAGCCCCTCATAACACTCTTAGGACCTTGCTACAGTTATCACTCTATTGAGACTGAGATGACTGTTTCATAGTCGGAAGTGACTTGCCCAAGGTCACAGAGCTGAAAGGTGCCAGAGCTGTACCTGAGCCCTGATTTCTGTTGACTTTGGACCTATGATCTTTACCTGTGTTGGCCTGACTTTCAGTGTAGCCTCTGGCTTTTTCTTAAATGAGAATAAGAAAGCAACTGATTTGTACTTGAAACCTAGTTACCAATAGAAGATACATAGGTTATTGTTGTTGTCAGTTTTGTATACAGTTTATAAATTTGTCTTCTTAAGAAAATTTACAGTTTTATGCTTTCTATTTATATCTTCTTTTGTGTCCTTTCCAGAATTCTGGAATCATCTTTGGTCTCCTGATAGCCCTTTTATTACCATGAAATCACTATGTGTTCTTTATATTTCTTTTTAAAGTCTATCTACTCCTTATGGCTGTAATACTGCAACTGCCTTTTCTGGTCTCCTTTCTGCCACCTCAAATTGATCATATACTTTGATCAAGTTTTTTTTAAACCCAGCTTCTCTCATACTGCATACCTGTTTAAGCCATTACTATCTTCCATTATTATTTATAATAAAAATACAGCTTTATTAATCTACAACTCAAGGTCTTTCATAATGTGATATAACTTATCATTGTATACGTTTTTGTGCCCTTATGTTCTTTCTCCCTTTTTTTGCCCATGCTGATATAGCCCTCTTCTAACTATGAGGAATAGATTTTCTCTATAACTCATTGGATATTTTATTATGCTTTGTATTTTGATAGTCTTTTTCTGTGTATATATGTCATCTTTCTAGATGAATTATTATCTTCTGAGTGTAGAAATGGGAACTCTGTGAATCATCACAGCATTTATTATACTTTCTTACATACAGCATTGTGTTAAAAATTAATAAATTAATTTATGAAGTTTTAAAAGTAACATATAACCCAATTCTATACCTTTTTGCTTTTTAATACCATAAATGTCACATAAGAAAAAGTTGCCTTTCCTATTATATTTTTCATCTCTATAATTATATTTAATTATGAGAGTGGAAGTATATTGATATAGCTTTAATAACCTAGAAATAAGGAAAATCTATTTTGAATGAAAAATATCTACTTATTATTACATTTTAAAAAAATTATGTTTGAGAACCTGTAATTAGTTATTTTATTGTATTGTTATCAATGTATAGTTTTAATTGGAATAAACTCAATATAATTTTAGAAATATAGGAAAATATGTAAATTGTTTAGTTTACCTTGCATGATGTATTTAATGTGTTTGGAAATAGTGCAGATTATCAAGTAATGATGTGAGGAAATTTGAAGATGTATTTAAATACTAAATTTAAAACACTCTGCTTAAATACAATTTCATTTTCCAAAAGAAGGTTGCATTTTTGTGCATCAAAATTGCTTCTTGGTTTCTGCTGAACTTGAAAATATTTGTGCCTTTCTTCTTCTTCTTCTTTTTATGTTTTTCTTGAATTAATAGTATAAACATTTTAAATGCTCATCTCTTTCATTTTCCTTTCTTTAATTTATAGATGTCTTATGAAAAACAATTTTTATTCTTTAATATTGAATTATTTAAATCTATGTAGAATAAAAGGTATTTTTGCTTTGAAAGATTTGAATTTCACCACGATAAATATTCTTTCATCCTGAAATCAAACAACAAATTGTCATAAATTTTTCTGTGTTTTGGATATTCATATTTACTTTCTTAGATGTTTTTGCTGCTTTTAAAATACAAATTTTAATGTAATATTAATTTGACTCAGAAATCTCATACACAGCTTAAACATTCTCATGCTGTAGTTTTTCCTGAATAATTTTTTTTCAAGTAATACTGAGCATCATACTGATGCCTTCTTTTATACCTCATATTTTTCTAATAGATGTCTTAAATTATTTTAGCCTTTAATTTGGTTTCTAAAATATCCGAATTAAACCATAAATGTATCTCTCAGAATAAAAAGTTACATATTTGAGGTAATTCACTGCCTATATCTAATCAAATCTCTTAAAGAAAAATTTTACATTTTAAAAATAATAGCATTTTAAGTCACTGTTACTTTTTAAAGGGAATGAGCCCTAGAATGAAAATTCAGATTATCCCATTTTGACCACTCTCATTTAATCATTTCATTTTTAAAATTAGAGGACTTCTTACAATCCAACAAAACCTCACTAATATGCATTCTTGGATGTGTTAATTCCCTTTGTCATAAATGGAAGCCAGCCTAAATTTTCTAATAATTTTTCATCACATTAAGATTCATGGCAAAAATTAAAATGAGCTAATTTTGAAATCAAGTGCATTCATTTTATAAGGATGCTTTTTCCCCTTTCTGTCTACCTAAGGAAATCGAGAAATTGAGAATAGAACTGAGTGAAAACGAGCAGCACTTGGAACAGGAGCAGCAGAAAGCAGCCCGGGCCAGAGAGGAATGCCTGAAACTAACAGAACTGCTGGGCGAATCTGAGCACCAACTGCACCTCACCAGGTACTCCCTAATCCCATTATGCACCATAGCACCAATTTCATTCCACTGATTTTTGCCACAGGCTTCCAAACAGTTGTTAGAGTTATTCTAAGTCATTCATTTCACACACAGCTTTCAGGCATATTAAGGAAAGTGGAGATGTGGCAAGCAAAACACCCAGACATGTGAATGATAAGTGTGGCAGGGAATTACTGATATATTACAAAACCTTTCATCTACAATGCTCAAATATTTAGGTGATTCTCTATCAATAAAAGCAAAATGATATGTTTCTCCTACCACCACCAATACCTCTCCTGTTAATTCCATATCTAATAAAAATGTTGAACTGAAGGATCTCAAGGATATATTTAGGAAAATAATGTCAGTGGTGAAAGCAACAAAATGCAAGAAATCCTAAGATTCAAATTGAAATCAAACTGATACAAAATAAGAAATATGTGTCCTAAGGAGGTGTAAAATAGAGATGGAATTGATTGGCACTGTTCATATTCAGATCATTATAAACATGCTTATACCATCCAGGTTTCAAATTACATTGTTTCATCATGAAATACTACGGTATGATCATCATTGTCATGAACTTTAGTAAACATATAGCTCAGCCCTAAATTGTAATAAGAATCTTTAGGGTGCACACATTGTGAATTTTCTGTATTAGAAACATACACACACACACACACACGTACATGCACACACACAAGCACACAAATACACAGAGAAAAATCCAAATAAAGATCATAGATATTTCACTTTACTATACAAGTGTTTCTTACTTTGAATTTTAGTGTGATTTTTCAATTGTCAGATGAAGTCTTTAGGTTTGTTCAGTGATTAGAGGTTTTTTTTAGCTTTTTAAATAGATCTTTGTTTAAATACACATATAAGTTTATGATAATTGGTTTGGTTTATAAGTTAGAAGAACACCGGTGTTCCAATCATTGTCATATGTTGAAAATAAACTATGAAAGGGGACTGATCCCTTTTACATTAAACATGACAATGTAATTCTGAGCACGGTATGATAACAGATGGAGAAAAGCACCACTTGAACAGCCTGCATTTAGAGAAAAAAATATTCTAGAGGTTGGTGAACCTCCCAAAGTTTTAGGTTAGTGTTAAGATGCCTCTAGTTCTGTTATATTCAAACTTTGTTGAAAACATTTTGTTATGATAATATTCCAAATGGTTTGACACCTTCCCTTTTAAACAATGAAAGAAAAAGAAGAAAGAAGCAAAGAGAAAAAGGAAAGAAAAAAATCACTTATAAACTGTGTGATAAAGAAATCACAGTAAATGAAATACTTTTACAATGAAAAAATAATAGCTGTTCTTTTAAAAAGTATTGTCATTATAGAACTGAGAACATAATACTAACATAGTGCCCGTGGTTGGTTTTTCTAAGAAGTTTCAGAATTTAGCTTATTCATGATAATAAGTTTTTCTGTCACAATTCTGAGAACCAACCGTTTGTGTACTAAGCACTACTAAACCACAGAAGTAAGACCGTTTTTAATGTCTCAGTGTGGCTGAACTTCAGTAAATAAATATTAATGCCAGCTTTGCCCCATTTGCCTTTTTCCTTATTCAAAGTTAATTTCTGAAGTCAAAGTCGGAGGAGAGTTTCCCATGCAGTATCAGTTTGTACTGCTTGACAAGATCAGTTTCTTGCAAGAAGAGTGTAGTAAGGTGCAGCAACTGCTGAACATGGATGAGTGCTAACTAATTCCTTTGTTCATAGGAAAAATGATTTTGCCTGCTTTTGTGAAAAGCTTTTTCTAGTTGAGCTTTATTTACACCAATTCAATAAAAATTTAAATCTACTTTTACAGGAAATAAAATTTAGTTACCTGTTTTCTAGGTGCAAAACTCTTTTGTATGCATTTTATGCTCAGTCTATGTTCATGTTTTATAAAATGTACTTTCATAAACTTAAACCTGACAACTAAAATGCAGCAAACTGTGTGTAACTTCCTTTTGCAACTGAAATTGCAACTTGGTCGTTGGGCTAAATATTTCTGACATTTTAAAGTTTGTTACCCTTTACTATTATTCATTCAATTAGGCATATAATTATGGGGTTTTCATTTTGATATAGATCACCTGAAATACAGAATACAGTTAGCATCTCATCACTCAGCCTCTAAACATTTTGAATAGTTTATTCTAAACAAAGTTTAAAATTGAATATGAAAAGCATGTTATAAAGAATGATGAAATAAGGATGCCAATGTTCAGGGGCAAAGAAAATTTAAAAACTGGAGTATCTGTAGATCGATCTAAAAAAATCTATCATTTTTGTTTGTCCTTATTTGATTTAAAAATAGAAAATAGAAATTCAGCATTTATTGCAGGATCCAGCTTGTGAATATAACATTTACCTGTGTAACAGATATTTATTGTGTATTACTCTCTTTTAAATATTTGACTGCCCCTAGGCATAGGGAGAAAAATAAGACTCAACTTCTACCTTTGGTTTTCTTATACTCTATTCTAGGAGCCAGATCTATATAGGCATTCATAATAGAATATGACAGTAGTGCAATGATAGAAGTAAAGATGACCACAAATGCAAATAAGATGAATTGGCTCATTCTGCACTGAAGGTAAAGGTGATATTCAAAGAAAGCTGGTAGTGAAAGACTAGAGTCAGGAAGGAGATGTTTGGCAGTGATCTTGAATATTAAGTACATGAGTAGGAGTTCAAGAGTGGAAAAAGGTGGGATGAATTCCCCAGGTAGAGGGACCAATATAAGGATATTTAAAAAGTTAGTGGAAATGGAATTAAAAGACAAGATACTTTTTAGTGCAAAAAAATTGAAATGCCTAATTTTCCTCATAATATATGTTTCCATGAACTTTTTGAAGATGCTTTACATATGCAAAGATATAAAGTTGGGCAACAACATATCTTTTCAATCAAGTTAGGAGATAAGGCTAGAAAATAAATGGGGACCAGAGGATGATGTATGGTATGACCACAGCAGAGTTGACTGTGGTCCTCGAGATCTGAAATATTTATTGCCCAACCATTTACAGATGAAGTTAACTAGCTTCTTGGTAAGGAGGTTATTTAGTTAAAGTAAGAAGTCAAGAGAGCTTGAACTATGACAGGTAGAAATCTCTTTCTAGCTCTGATCCTCAGTGATCCTCACAATTTAAGAAGGTAATTGAAAAACATTGAGAAAGTGGGTGTACTGGTTGAAGAAGAGATGATTGACAGGAACCCCTATTAAAATATAAGCACAGTAGTCCAGGGAGATAATAATGAAACCCTGGGCCATGGTTTTACCAGGAAAATGGAAAAGCAGTAGCATCTTCAAGAGATAAGTAGAGTAGCAAATAGGAAAGGATAGAATTAAACATGACTAACATTTCTGGCCCAAACTGACTCAGTGATCCTTTAATCCATCTAGGGGATTTGAAAGAATAAGCAGAGGAAAAACACTGTGTGCTGGAACTCTTGTGGAGATGTCCAGTATACGTTAAGTGGGGGAAGAAAGGTTGTGACTTGGCTTAGATTCTAGATGCTTTTACGTAAAGGTATTGGAGCCAAGGGAACAGAAGAAAGCACATAGGACCATGTTTCTAAAATTCAGCAGAAGAGCCACCAGCCGAGGAGACTGAAACAGGAACTTCAGATATATGAAGATACTTCAAAAAGTTCATGGAAAATGTAATTAAAACACAGTGTATCTTGCTAAAAGTTTTTGAAATCCATGAGTAGTTTTTGTTTTGTTTTGTTTTGTTGACAGGCAGAGTGGACAGTGAGAGAGAGAGAGACAGAGAGAAAGGTCTTCCTTTGCCGTTGGTTCACCCTCCAATGGCCACCGTGGCTGGCGCACTGCAGCCGGCACACCACGTCTATCCAAAGGCAGGAGCCAGGTGCTTCTCCTGGTCTCCCATGGGGAGCAGGGCCCAAGTGCTTGGGCCATCCTCCACTGCACTCCCGGGCCACAGCAGAGAGCTGGCCTGGAAGAGGGGCAACCAGGACAGAATCTGGCGCCCCGACCGGGACTAGAACCCAGTGTGCCGGCGCCGCAAGGCAGAGGATTAGCCTATTGAGCCGTGGCGCTGGCCAGAGTAGGTTTTTTTTAAATATATATTTTCCACAAACTTTTTGAAGCTGCCTCCTATAAAAAAAGAATAAAGAATGATCCCAAAGGGCACTTTGGTGAAGTAACCAAATGCTACTAAAACCATATGCTGTTATTAGAGGATGTCCCCAAGCAGCCTAGGATTAAGAAACTGAGTTATAATACCTTCCCTACCCATTCACTATCTTTCCAACTTTGGACAAATTATTTAACTCCTTGGGCTTACTTACTTACCTATAAAATAACATGGATGGATGATTTCTAAATCCCTTTCTAGCTCTCATATTCAGTGATCCTCACAATGATTTAAGTCAAGCCATTATTAAGTTACCATTTCTGCATATTAGTCATTTAAGTTGTTTGGAGCATCCATTGGTTAAGATGTTTCCTTAGTTTGAAGTTCTGAGAGGTTTCATGGAAACATCACCTATGTTCCTTGTAACTCAGGCTCTATTGATATCTCCCAACGGTTGTGAAAAATAGTCTCCTGACACCCTTCCACTCTTTTTTTGCTAATCACTGCCCTATGAATAATCATATGCCAGGACCTTGACTCTGTTGCCCTGTTCTCAAAACCTTCCATGTTGCCATACTGACTCAGCATGGCATTTAAAATCCTCTCCATAGGCTCCCAACATTCCAGCCATTTTTCAGCCTTGCCAGTCCTCTCACATGCTGATTTGGAGTCAAATGTAAGTGCATAAACTCCTCTTGTGGTTTTGGACTTTTTGACCTTCTTCTAGCCCTTTTATAAGCTAATCTACTTATCAAGATTTCCCTGAAATCCTGATTTTTCTCCTCTTTTTTTTTTTATTATTTTTCCCCTCTGTAACCTTCCCTGATACCTCCTATCAGAAGGAAGCACTTCTCTCTCTCTGAATTCTTCTTCCCACTTAGAATATA